AATACAGTCTGAAAAATATAATACTTAAATTTTACAAAATATTTAAAAATAATATTGGAACATTTTTATAAATTTTTAAATAATATTCAGCTTGAATATATCTGTTTATTAAAACACCTCAAAAGTTTAAGATGCCTTAAAATTCGTTTGCAGCCTTTACGATTTTCCTTCTTGACTGCGACGTGCTGAAATTCGAATAAAATCTCTCTGCTGCACTCCATTTTTCCAGCTAAAGCCAATCGGATAAATGGAAAATCTGTGGTAAATCTGTGAGGCAGCTGCCACACTATCGATTACCAAATGAAGAGGCGGCGAACAAGGAACGTATTCAGGCATCAATTAGAGACTTCCTGTTGTGCCATTTGGCCAAAAGGGAACTTCATTAAGCGCGTTTATATCCACACAGGCAGCACAGACACTCACATGCACATCGAATAACTGTCTGTCATTCAAGTTGGCTTATTCAGCATCTGCCGACAGCATAAATACGATTTGATGTACCTATCCTTAAGTGCCGAAGACTCTCAGGCAAATGTACTTTCTTTGCCAGCCAGAGGCGTGGTCAAGAAGGGGAAATATTGACTAATATTATGAAGTTAAAAAAAAGTAGGGGGAAATCTTAACAAATATTATACAATTACGAACAAAAAAAAAATATTTTATAGTGGCCAATTTAAATAACTTAAAAAACAGTATAAATAAGTTGACACTTGTTGTATGATTTTTTTAAATAAAAATTTTTTTTTATAATTTTTATTTATTAATTTTATTTGTTATGCAAATTAAAATTTAATTAAAAATTATACAATGGCTTGCAAATTCTTATTGAGATATATATCCCCGCCTTAAACTACTTATATGCAGGGGCGTCAAATCCCCCGTGCAATTGCCAAGGGGAACACATGTTTCATAACACTTAAAATCCCCAACTCGCGATTCACGATTTCGAGGAGTGCGACGATCGCGTGAACAAGTAAATGCCGGGCAATAATTTTTTTATTGCCAGCCAATGCCAAAAACATTTCGCATCGAGTGTAAGTACATATTGAAATAATGTTATTCCTCTTTATTCGCGAGTGTGGGTGTGGGTGTCTGTCTGATAAGCAGCCAAAGTCCTTGTTATTGTAGCCGTTAAATCCGCAGAAACACACACGCACACACACGGACACGTACAGGCAAACGCCCCCCTGAATGGATGTGGGCGTGGCATGTTTGCCGAACTCTCGATATTTATGCCCTTGGTATCGCTTTAGTATCGCTTTAATCAGACTCTTTGATTTTACAACACCATTATGCACTTTTAGTGTGATTGATTGGGGGGCCTGGAGAATGGCAAATGCATTGCCGTTCGGTCTAAATGCGGATTGGGAATTCAAATTCGATTGGAGAATAAAACAAAGTCCATAAAAGGTTAACGAGTAGCAATAAAGCCCAAGGGTAAACGGCATTCATTATATTTGCTATGCCATTTAGAGCAGAAATCTGCTGGCAATTGCAAAAACCAAAACTATTTATCAATTTTTGAGAATGGAAAACCAATGTTTCAATATGTAGATTTAAATCCATGCAGCACACTCTCACTTTTATTCGCTGTGCAAACACTTTTCCATTTGTATGGAAATAATATTTGACAATAATGGAATTTTTAAGTCATCCAATTCATGAATTTATTTACCGCTTCACTTAAATGGCCAAAAAATTGGTTCACATTTAACCATTTGCAGTTCCTGTGGCCCGAACCAAAAATTGCAATTGCAACTGCGTGGTCGCGGCCGAAAACTTACTGCGGTGAGTGTTTCAAATTGCTGCAAATTTGATCTAAATAAAAGCCGAGAACTTTGTGCCTAACACTTTTGGTCTGAAAACTTTCCAACAGTTATCAGTTGCTGTCCTGCTTACATTGTTCTCGATCGAAGTCACGAGAACTTTTTGCAACCATTTGCCATTAGCAGACATGCAGTTTTGTGCACTGGAAAAAATTAGTTCGGGTAAAGAAAAGGCCGAATAAAATTAATTGATTTAAAAATAATCAAACTTTATTGCACTTTCAATGCTTATTTATCGATGTTATATTTTTCCTCAATTGTTTTTAATCCAAAATAAAACCACAGCTGTGCACTTTCCCACTGAACAATTTTTTCTCAGCGCATCAACGAACAAAATATAAAACAAAGTTGTTAAATAAAAGTTTCTCACTGGCTTACAGAACGATTCTCGGTGTCCGGAGCAGACGGAGACTGTTCTAAATGCGGAGCAGTGAACCTCATGCATAATGCAGATGGTCGGACATGCAACCATCTCGCTGAAGAGATTACAGTCGGTCTCAGTTTGCAGAGATAGGTATTTGAGATATGCCGACTATTCTTCATTCATTCCTTCATTCATTCAGACCCTGGCTTATTTTCCGATCCCCCAGCTCCGCCGCAGAAGCAGAAGTCCTGGCCACAGGAGCTGCGTTTATTTACTGTCCAGCCTCGCAGCCTCTCAGCCCGGCATGGTAATTAGGCAGAGTCGTGTGGGATTGTGCTCTGCTAACGACCCGCCTGAATAATTCATTAGCCGGGGGTCCTCCGCCTCTCCATCCAGCATCCTTCATTCCCCATCCACTACACACACATCCCGGTCTCGCTGGGCATCTGTCTGTGCTTTCAAAAACCCACCGCAAACATAACCCAAATGCAAACATGAACATCCTCTGGCTAGTTGATATTTCACTGAGTGTATACTTTGTCCCAGATTGAGGAAAGCCACTGAGATGTGCACATATATTAAAATGCTGTAGGCACTAAGTGATATTAGATATATCTCTTACGTTTTTCCACAACATTAATTTTGAAAGATGACCGGTTTTAAGAGATTTCAAACTGCATTATGATGCAACAACCAACGAAAATTAATTCTTAAAAATTCTCTTAAATCATTTTATACTTCTAAGTTTATGCAATTGATTTTACAATCTTATAAAAAGATTTTCCCTTTCCCTCGCGTTTGTTGCCTTCAACTTTCTGCTTTTAATCGAATTAAATGTATTTATAAACTTTACGACCCATTCCAAGCACTCTGGCTAGACATCTGTATAACATAAGATTCGAAGATTATAAACGAGAATGGGCCAACGAAGTAATGGAAATTTTGCTTGGCATTTATTGGCCAAATTTAGTTGGTAATTTGTGTACATATATTAGGAATATTTATGCTGTGCACCTGTCCAATCTTCGTCGAGGAAAAACGGGGGCCTGGCCGAAACGTTAAAGGGTCGCTTTATTGTCGGCACGTTTTTCATATTTCTGTAATCCATTACCAAGTCCTGGCCATCTTGGCCATCCGTCACGGACGCACAGCCTCCGGTCGCCCAGACTTCAAAAGTTCTCCGGCTGGCCATTTAAAGAGGAAACTTTATGCGTAACGATTTTCTTACGCTTTCTAAGCAGCTTATGTCGAAGATGTTATGCTCTTGGAAATTATTTGTGTAAGTTTACGCAATACGGATGAAACGCAAGCCCAATTTAAATAAATATGAAATCGGAGAGGGGAAGTTGTTCAACATGTTGCTGCAAAAAGTGGCAGGCACTTCAAGGATTTATGATACTTTAAAGGTTTATAATGCATTTCCATTGATACTGATTGAAGTGGGGCCATTAAAAATATATTTTAAAATATAAATATAATTGGTCTGTATATTTTTTCTCTGTTATATAATGCTTAGTCTCACATACTCCTGAGTAGCTTCCTTTTTCCTACTTAATATGCAATTATAGTGTAGTTTTTCCCATAAATTTCAATAGAGTATCAGAACTGTCAGAAATGTGTTGCATTGCTAACCAAGTAACAGCAGTCGGTGCCCTCCAAAAAATAAAGCACATACTTTTTATTACCTTCTCGAAGAGCGGAACTTTTTCGGGGACTGGGGGCTGGTTGGAGGAGAAGGTCGAGATTTGTGCGCTGACAGGAAGCAACTTTTGGCTGACTCATGGCAGTTGATTTACTGCTCACCGGGGTACGGGTAATATGTAATATGTACTATGCAGGTAAGTGTTTTTTCCCAGACTGCAGCTCGACAAATGAAATTTTGGAGCCCCGAAAACACTGGGAAAATCTGCTGCCAGATGATGGCCTTTGTGGCCGAAAGGAAAATGGTCGGGGAGGCTCAAGTCCGCATTGCTTTTACTGCACATTTTATAAAATTCATGCAGGTTTGCTCTGATTTCGCTCCCACTAATGGGCTGTTCTTTGTCCCGAAAAGAAAACGGATGATTCCATCATCAAAATTCTCTGTGATTCGGTAAGCAATTTTCGTTGCGTTCCGTTCCTACACAATCGCAATCAAGCGATGAGCTTGCAATCCACTTGACTCTCTTTCTCTGGCTAAAAGGATGTGGAATATGGACGGATTCCTTTGTGAGATTGATAAATGTAACTGCTGTTGCTGGCTGAATACGAGCAAACGTCCGAACGGATGTTATTAAACTGGAAAGTAACTTTTAAGTATGTATAACTTTTGAGAGTCGAGGAAGGTTAGGGAAAGAGAAAAGAGATATGTTTAAAGGTTGCTTGAGATTCAAAATATTACTTGAATTGATTGGAAAATAATTCTTATTTTTTTCAAATATTCAAGTAAAGTCACTTAGCCATAAGAATGGTAATTCAATATATAGCATTATACTGTTAGTAATTATTATTATTCAAATATTTTAAATGATATTTAAAAATGACAAAATAGTTTATAAACCTTGATATTTGTTATGAGTTGGAAAGATAAATAAACAGGGGTGTCACAGAAATCTCTTCCAACCGAAGACGGTTGGATTTTGCATTGATGCACGTAAGAACTTTAACGGATTTCGGTTGGAAATAATTTCTGTGACACCCCCGAAAATAATATGTTAATCATTATTATTATTTTTTTATTTTTTTAATTTCTTTAGTAAGAAATCAAAATTATATTTTAATAATTTTAATAATTAAAAATAATTTAATAATTTATTATTATTATTACTCACCCTATCTCAGTTGAATCGTCTCCCGAGCTCTCCTCCGCCTCCTGGTCCTACTCCTACTCCTACTCCTCCTCCGATTCCCTCGCCCAGCTCGACCATCACATCCGAGTCCTGGCAGTGACTCGTGCTCGTCTCCAGGATGCTGATCCCGGTCGTGTTATCCGTGCTCACGAACGGCGTCTCGCTGAAGCGCACCTCCACGGTCTGCTCGTCCCCCGAGTCCAGGTAATCCCCGTCCGTCTCGTCCGTCCGCCGGCGGATCCTCCGCGTGAGCTCCACCTGCTGCTGAAGCGACGGCTGCAGCTGGTGCATCTGATGGTCTCCGCCATGGACCAAGGCGGCGTTGATGCCCCGTCCACTGAGGATCGGGGACACGGCACCAGTGCCATTGCCGTAGGTCGGCTCCCTCGGGATAATCAGCAGCTTCTCCTTGGGCAGACACGTCTCCTGGGTGATGCCGTTCTCGTCCTGGTCGTCGGCATCCCCCTCCCCGCCTCCCTTGCCGTGATGCAACCTCGGGCCACAGGTATTCCGATCACTCCTGTTATAACCCCTGGTTATATTGATGATATTGTTGTTCGAGGGATTAAAGCAGGGCAGGACGTGCTTGAACTCCTTGCGGAAGTTCTCATTGAGCCAGGCGTAGAGGAAGGGATTGTAGCAGGTGGAGCTCATGGCAATCGAGTGGGCCACGAAGAAGAACAGGAAGTAGAAGCGCCACTCGTTGGACTTGTCGTCGAAATCATCGAATATGTTGACCACATTGATGGGCAGCCAGCTCAAACCGAAGACGGCCACCATGGCGATGAGCATGCGATTGGTGCGCTTCTTGCGATCCCGATCCGCCTCCTCCCGCCGCGAAGACTTCGATCCCGGCTTGGCCCTGGCCCGCTGGTTCAGCTTCACCGAGATCCACACATAGCAGATGGAGATGATGAAGAAGGGCAGCACGAACTGCAGCGTGGTGGTGATGGCTCCGAAGACCTTCCTATACTGCTCCGATGGCCAGTTCTCCTCGCAGTAGACACGCACATACGGCAGCTCCGCCGATCCCGCCTGCATCACCTGCATATAGGCCTGGGCCGCCGAGGTGGCGTCCGGCGGCTCTATCAATCCCGCTCCCTGGGCCACATAGCTGCCATTCAGCATCAGAGTGGCCTCCACCAGGGTCTCATTGCCCCCCAACTGCGTGCCATTGACCACCTCGTTGGTCATCTTCATGTACATGCCGTAGGGAACGGTGGCCAGCAGGGCTATCACCCAGATGCTCACGATGATCCCGATGCAGGTGGAGAGCTTCATACGCGGATGGAACGGATAGATGATCACGAAGTACCGATCGATGGCAATCGAGGTGAGCGTCAGCGTGGATATGTAGATGCTGCAGCCCTGGGCAAAGGACACTAGATGACACAGACTCCTTCCGAAAGCCCAGCGACCCATGAACGTGTAGAGCGGGGTGAAGGGCACCGCCAGGACGCAGAGCAGGATGTCCGACAGAGCCAGATTCGTGATGAATATATTCGTCACCGTCTGCATGGCTCGATTCCGCAGGACCACGTAGCAGACCAGGACATTGCCAAACACTCCCAGGACAAAGACCGTGGCGTAGAGGACGTAGAAGAAGATCTGCACGAACTGATTGGCGATGATCCCATCGTCGTCCTTCGAGGCAGCCACATCCGCCAGGACGAAGCTCGTGGTCACCGGCGAAGTGAGGCTCCAGTTCGAGGTGGTGACCAGCGGCAACTGGGTCGTGGTGCTCAGCCAGCTCAAGTTGGCCATCTTTCACTAATGAGTTGAGTGCTGAGTGGTTGTGTGCTCGACTTGCTGCCGGTGGTTCCGGTTCGGATGCGCACCACTTAAGCAGCCATTTCCGTCGCCGCCGGAATTGAGCTCCTTACTCGCTGCTGGCCAAGCCAGGCCAAAAACCTCTTGGCCGCTCAGAAAGCCTGGGGCAATAATATTCCGCTCATCGCTAATTGACCGAGCCGTTGAGTTCTGAAAGTGTAGAGAAACGGAGAGGATTTTAGTTGGAATAACATTAGTTGGAACAAACGAACTTTAATGCAGGATACCAAAAAACGTTGTAAATCTAAAGATTTCATTTTCAATTTAAATATTTTTCTTTTATTATTTTATATATGTAAATATTGCTTTAAGCAATTGTAGTTAATTAAAATATTTTAAACTTTGATTATGAAACTATTCTTTAAAAGTTTATGATTTAAATAATCATGCAATTTAAAATTTTTTGTATTTATTTCAATTATGTTCTACGAATTTTTGATTTCAATATTTTATTTTTATTTATTTTCCTGCCATTTTAAAAATTTACTCAGTTTAAAATGCAAGGGTCGAAAAAGCATTATAGTTGCATCATTAGGCATTGAAGATTGTTGCCAAAGTTTATTGAAATCGATGATCATAAAAACCTTATAGTCATGTAACATCATTGTAAGAATTCCCATAAAATTGACTACTAAAACTCAACTTATTTCAAAGTTTTCTGCTGGGGAATTCCTCTTAAACGGACTTAAAAACTAAGTTTTCTGCCGGTACTGCCCACCCTTTCCGCCCAACGACCTCGTTACCACCCCAAGAAACTTGGTTTCACTTTTTGTGTTCTGCCCTTTGTTTGCCTGCTTTTTGGCCAAAAGGGATTAAGTTGTTGCCCTGACTGGCTTTTATTTTTAGTTGCTGTCAGACACGCTTTCTCGGCTTGAAGCTTCGAACTGGGTTCTTCTTCTCCCATTCCGACCGAGTTTATTAAAAACAATGCCAATGTGACAGTTGCTGTCTCTAACTGGGCATCAAGACGAAAATCTCCAACAACTTTGATACCAGAAGCTCTTCGGACAGCTTTGAGCCGAGCTGAGTTGTATACTGAAAGTACTGAAGAAATTGTATCTTTGTGTACAGAAAATAATTTCATTGGTTAAACGTAAACAAAAGTTATGAGAAATCACAAGGGATTTAAAATCATTTAAAAAGGCACCTAAAAGTATGCAGTATGCGAAAATAAAAACTTCCTCTTTCGTAATGAATCGATTGATTTTCAAGGTAAAAATAGTTTGTTATAAGTTTTAAAGCCTAAATCATACTCTTCAAAGCCGTACATCGTCGTACATATTCTCCTGTAGAAGTTTATCAAGCTTGAAAACTGAAAGTGATTACCCGTTACGAAATGGCCATTATCAAAGAAGTCCATTGTCTGCGAAGGCTTGCAATTAGGCGCTGCAACCAATCGGAACAATTGTTAATTGCCAGATACCAGTAAACCGAAAACAATGGGTAATCCTGCCATTGTACCAGCCTCTGGGAGCCAGGCCAAGCATTAAATCTCATGTTTGCAATGAGAGGAAGTTCAGGGAATTTTATTGCTTCCCCGAAGGTCGAAACTTTTGGCAGGCAACCGAACAGCCAACCAGAAACCATCGATGCAAAGATGCCGATGGCTTCTGATCACGTACGGCAACTAAATGCAAATTTAATTGGATTCGCCCAACAACGGTCCGGAAAAGTTTTGCCAAACATGCAGGTAGTGTAGAATATTCGGAAAATCTAAAGCCGGATAATGCAACGTCCTAAAATCACAGACTTCGGGGGAGTTTTCGGGGTTAAATTACAAGGTTGCAAATTGAATTCCTGCGTTTAATGAACACATGCTCAACACGAAGACCCCCGGCCACAAATAACAAGGTTAATATAGTCAACTCGAGAGGGCAAATACTTTGCAGATGGCATAACTTAATTAGAACTTGAGACACCATTGTGTCATTACGAGAAAGAAAAAGTTTGTGCAGAATGCCTCGGAGATTCTTTTGAGAGCTAAGGAAATTAACGCTAGTTGCTAACAAGTTCTTATAAGAAAGTTTGCTAATAGCGAATGTCTAAGCTGAAATAAATAAAATGACATGCAAAATAAGTCATTTACAAACGAAACTTAATATTAATTTAGTTTCTAAAGATACATTTTATTTAAATTAAATAATTAATCATTAAATATTTATCATAAACAAGTAGGGGAGAGTGGGGGAATTTCGTCACAGGGGCAATTTCGTCACCTGCAATATCTCGGAATCCATAAGTCGTAAAAATATATAATTTTTTTGTTTTAGTCCTTCAAGACGGCCAGACACAACCAATGCATTTGTTTTGCACAGAAGGCCAAGATAATTAAGCTATAATATTAAATGTGTTTTAACAGTTCAAAAGCTACATTTAGTTCTCGACGAAATTTTTTCTGTATGCCACAATTCAAAAGGAATAAGATACACGATTTTTTATATAATACACAGTGCTATAATGTGCATTTCTGCGTCAGTGATTTTTAACTTCGCGCCTAATTTCGCAAGAAAAATAATTATTTCTAAAAAAGTACGGTCTGGGGAAATTTCGTCACCGTACGCTAAGGGTAAATTCGCACCTATTTTAAATACATATTTTTATATTTGACGAGCTGGCTAACGAGCAGACTACCAGCAGCAGCAACAAATATAGGACGTCAACAAAAATGGTACGCTTGATCAGTGTAGCATATTTTCAGGCGTTAAACTCCCTACATTTTTCAGGTGACGAAATTTCCCCAGTTGTGTGGTGATTTTACCCCCCTGTGTGGTGAGATTGCCCCAGTATATTGGTTTTACATTTTATTTTTTTATAAATCACCAAGCTAATTAAAAAAATAGGGGAATGTCACATTTTAAAGCTTGGTGCTAACCGCATTCAACAATAAAAATAGAAATATGATAACGTGTCTCAAGATGGACAAAAAATAGCTTTGAAAAAATGCTGACGAAATTCCCCCTCTCTCCCCTACCACAACATAAAAATATAATATCTTTATCATATTACACTAGTTTACAAAATAATATTCTTGGTGTGCTCCCCAGCAATTGATGGCAAATTCTGTTAGTGTTGGACCCCTAGATCACAAAAATAGCAATTATTTTTTTTTCGATGGCACAGTTTTTTTTTAAAGATTTTTTAAAGTTCGAAATGTTAAATTTCGGACTTTTTTCGAATTTCTTCTTATATCTCGGCAGATATCCACTTGGTTGAGCCAGTTTTAGTTTTATTTTAAAGTCAATAGATCAGAGCTTAACTTTGCCATACAGATCAATATGATTGGATGAGTAATGGCAGCGCAGAAGCTTGACAAAGATGAAAAATGTGTTTTTTGGTCGTCTGTAAGTCGGCTGTATATATCGTAAAAACTCGAAATAAATCCGTTGAAAAATCATAATGGGTACAAACTTAAAGTGTACATCCTACCGAATAGAACAAGCTGGATATGGCCCAAATCCATGGAAAACTGGATTTATGGTAGATTTTTAAAGTTCGGATTTTTCCACTTTTTTCGGTTGACAGAGTCCAAATTTAAGATTTATCATAGGCGGCGTCATGTAAACAAAAATGAGTGGTGACGGCAGCCGGATCAAAAAATAGCTAAATTTAAAAGCTAGAAAATTATAAAATAAATTTAATTTCTGAAAATTCCTTTAAAAATATAAAATTGCTTGCGTTATGACTGTGAGTATTTTTAATTAAGTACTATCCATTTGGATAGTTCATTCTTATGAAAAAAGTAACCTTAATTTCAAAAATTAAATTCACTTTAATAATTTTCTAGCTTTTAAATATCTGATTTAGCTATTTAGTGACCCGGCTGCCAACACCAATTATTTTTGTTTACATGTCGCCGCCTATGATAAATCTTAAATTTGGACTCTGTCAACCGAAAAAAGTGGAAAAATCCGAACTTTAAAAATCCACCATAAATCCAGTTTTCCATGGATTTGGGCCATATCCAGCTTGTTCTATTCGGTAGGATGTAAACTTTAAGCTTGTACCCATTATGATTTTTCAACGGATTTATTTCGAGTTTTTACGATATATACAGCCGACTTACAGACGACCAAAAAACACATTTTTCATCTTTGTCAAGCCTCTGCGCTGCCATTACTCATCCAATCATATTAATCTGTATAGCAAAGTTAAGCTCTGATCTATTGACTTTAAAATAAAACTAAAACTGGCTCAACCAAGTGGATATCTGCCGAGATATAAGAAGAAATTCGAAAAAAGTCCGAAATTTAACATTTCAAACTTTAAAAAATCTTTAAAAAAAAACTGTGCCATCGAAAAAAAAATTAGTGCTATTTTCGTGATCTAGGGGTCTAAAACTAACAGAATTTGCCATCAATTGCTGGGGAGCATTTCGGCTGTAAACTAGTGTTATCGGTTTACCCTATTTATTATCATTATTTAGCAATATAAGAAACAATTTATCAAAGAGAATAAAGACAGGAGAAATTGTTAAAAATTACTTCAGTTATTACAGAAAGTTTGGCAGATCCCGGAGGCTTTGCAATCCGGTTAACAGGAAGAATGTCAAAAGAATTTAACGCCGCGGGGCCGAGAGCAAAAATATAATCATTTTGATAAATTAATAGAACTCTGGACCAGGTTGAGGCAGAGGAAAGAAGAAGCCCAGAATGCCGGATATTGCGTAAAGGGAGAACAGCAGCGTGGGAAACGAGAAAAATTGCCAGTTAACAATTTTTTGTTTTGCCCGTCTTTTTATGAACGCATTTATCCATCGCTTGGCAGGCGGGAGCCGTAAACTCCGTCAAAATCTTTGCCAGCAGCCGGCATTGGCAAGCCTCGAGTGTCGCCGACATCATCATCGCCATCATCCTGGATTCTGTTTCCCAGCTCCTAGCCACTGGTTCCTGGTCCCTTTCTCGACTCCATTGTCCTTCTGCAGGCTCACGCGCCGCACTCCCATTATCATTACTAACAAGCAGCACAAAGCAGCTTGAGTGTGTCATCCTGCCGGCGCCCGTCAGCCCATCCTCTTAAACTCCTGATCTGCGGCACTTCGTAATTTTAATTTTGATGCATTTGTCACCATTTTTTGTTCGCTTTTATGTCCTACACTTTGGAAAATTGGATGTATGTATGTTAAAATTTACTTTTAACTTAAACAAATAAGA